AAGAACCACAATATACCCCCCTCCCACCCCTCCCAATGTCTGTGAGGCGGATGATTTCTACTTAACTCTCTCTCTACTCTGATTACATTCATTATTTCGACAAAAGATGCACCATTATTGTTTGGAATTTCCCCCCCCCCCAACAATCAGAACTGCTGAAAAGACATTATAAAATAATTTGTTTCCTATTGCTGGTTATGAAAACCATATGATGTCGTGCGGCCGCTATTGCAGCTGCGCGATTTTCGATTTCTAATATTTTACTAATTAAGTCTGGAGGGATTTTTGCCAAGAGATGGATAATTATGAGATTGGTTTCTGTGTGTCTGGTGCCATGGCCGTACCGGAGAGTTGCTCGTGGGGGGCAACTTGTGGCTTCGGTCAGGCGTAAAGGATGAGCCAGTTTCGCCCCCCTTCCCATGAGGCTGCAGTTGCCCCATCACCGCCGACTCATACCTGGCTTTCCAATAAGCTCTGAGGCAGGTGGCGGGCGGGGGGGGAGGTGGAAGAGACGGTTGCCCTTTCCCTCCCGGGGGGGCATGGCACGGTAGTTTAATGCATAGTCCATTCCCATTTCTGCCACAAGCTGCCAGGCTCTAGATTAAATCCATGTGTTTCTGGAGCCATGGCCGTGCAGGAGAACCCATTTTTTTTTTTTTTAATTTTTGGTGTGTATTTCTTGTTCTCCTTTTCTCATCCCTGAGCCAAGGGTAAGAAGTTGAGTATCATGCTGAGTGAAGTTAGTCAGGGAAAGAGAGACAGATACAATAATCTTGTTCCCATGCAGGATATAAAGGAAGATAGTAGGGAATACTCATGCCGAAAGGAAACAGAAAGGAAGAGCAGGACAACCATCCTGAATAGGAAGCGTATCCCTAGGGGTGGAGGGGGGGGGTCAGGTCAGGGAAAGGACCACTATGACAGTGATAGAGGGAGGTGGTTACTCTGGGTGAGGACTGAGTGCTGAAAAGAGGTAAAGAGATATGCATGATGCCCTATCAGTAACAGTATCATAAAACACAGTGACTAAAGTGGGGTGCGTGAGGAGGGTAGAAAAGGGAAAGAAGGCCAAAAATAATATGCCTGCTGTAGAAACAGGCTGGGAGGTCCTAGGGAAACTGGGGGCACTTGTGGAGGGCAGTTAGAATACTCGTGAAGGGACAGGTGTTGGAACAATGAACGCCTGAAACTCAAATGTTGGTGTTAAGCCAGGACATTAGGATGAGTCTCTGGGCGCTGCCCTGCAAGCAGGAAGCAGAACCGAGGCTCCACTTTCACACTAAGTGGGCAAGCTAAAACTTATGAATCCGATGACCTGGAGAAATACAGCATGCTCTCATACACCTGCCTGGTCATACATTATCCTGGCAGTACAGGGCAGCAGTTTCCCCCTCTCTTACACGTCCTTAATCTGGATTGACCTTCAAGTATCAGTATCAGTTTTCCCTTTGCCCTATGTGTAACCCACCAGAAGAATGTGGAGACATAATCTGTAAAGCCTACAATGTCCAGTTCCATATCTTCCTTTGACATTTTAATCATAACAACATAGCTTTGACAAAATAGCTTTGACAAGAAATGTATACCCTGATGTTCTTTTGATGAATGCTCATCCTGTAACGGTTTGTACTCTCGTTAGTGAGTCTTTCTCTATGATGAAGTCATTAGGATGGAACTGATAAAAAATAGAATAAAAGGAGGCCTCTGGCAGTCGCTCTTCTCCTTGACCCAGATTGAGCCTTGGCCCTCGGTACTCTGTACATTCCTCTCCCATGTCTTATCTCCGTTCTGCTGGCTGATTGATCGATTACTTCATGCAACATTGATGAGCTTCTGGTTGCTGCCCTGGCTTAGCACCAACACTCAACCATGAACAACTTCATGGCTTTGTGGTCCACGGCAATTCAATAAAAATAAATCAGTAAAAAGAAGTTGGTCTCAGGGTCAAAGAGACTACCGGGGTTAAGGCACTTGCCTTCTAGGTAGCTGACCCTGGTTAGAATCCCCAGCATTGCAGATGATTCCCAGAGCACCGCCAGATTCCTGAGTACAGAGATAGGAATAGTCTGAGTAATACCTCACATGGCTGCCACATCCCTGCACCCCCCCAAGGAAATAACAGAAGAAAAAAAAAACTCATCCAGAAATTTTCACACCACATTAGTTTTGTCAGCATTGAAATTTGAACGTCTGCTAGTCTGTCTCCAAAAATACTGACTCTACTGAGCCTGGATTCCTTAGATTTTTCACGTATTCCCAGGGTGATGAGTTTATAGCCTCATTGAACTGAGCACAGTTTCTTGACATCAGCCATGATAGTCAGATCTCATGACTACTGTTGAATTGTAGTAGCTGTTCTCATTGGGTGGGGGGTAAGGTAGAAATCTTGCTCCTTTGGAAGAAAGAGGAAGGCATGGTTGCATTTGAAGAGGTCCCGAAAGAATCTGTCTTTGGAATATGCTTTGTGCTTCTGCCTCAAGACTCAGGAACTGTCAGGACAAAGAGAACAGGAGCTGAATCCAAAAGGTCTGATTCCTCTCTCCTTCCAGATGGCTCATCAGGGAGTTGCTCTGCCTTAGTAGTTGGCTTGTTCATCAGCTTCTTGATTTGAAATGGGTTAAGGATAAATCTTTTTGACGAAGTCATGAAATTTACATACAAGTGGTACTACATGGAAAGTATCATGTTAAGCGAAATGAGTCAGAAAGAGAGGGATAGACATAGAAAGATTGCATTCATCTGGGGAACATAAAGTAACAAAATAGGAGACTAACACCAAAGGATGGCTGAGATTATTACCAGGAATTTTACTCCATGGCTTGGAGGCCAGCCACAAATGCTAGAGGAAAAGGGAGTCAGATAGAGAAGGGAGCACCAAACAGAGGGTGTTGGGAGGATCCTCCCAGGATGGGAGAAGCATGCTGAAAGTAGACTATAGACCAAACATGATTACCACTCATTGCCTCTTTTGCAAATCACAACACCCAAAAGGAGAGAGAGAACAAAAGGGAATGCCCTGCCACAGAGGCAGGGTGGGATTGGGGGGGGATCGGGGGTCGGAAGGATACTGGGATCCATGGTGGTGGTAAATGGGCACTGGTGGAGAGATGGGTATTTGATCATTGTGTAGTTGAAACCCAAGCACAAAAATTTGTAAGTCTATCACTGTACCTCATGGTGTCTCACTAATAAAATTTTTTAAAAAAAAGAATAAATCTTTTTAAAACTTAAATATTTTTTTTTCAATAGTATTGTCTTTGCAAATGATAGTAAGATGAACTCAAAATTTGAAGTACTTTTGAGCTTATAGCACTTTCCCCATATTTCTCTGTTTTTTTTTTTGTGGTTCTCAAATGAACGTTTATGATTCCTACTTTACTATTCCTTAGATTGTTATTGAGTCCTTTCTGATCTATTTTGGTATGAATTTGAGTATGATGTAATATCACAATGCCTGTTTTGATACATGTTTAAAAGTTATGCCTTCTGGAGCCAGAGAGAGAGAGAGAGAGAGAGAGAGAGGAGAGAGAGAGAGAGAGAGGTTAAGGGTAGGAGGAGAGGAATGTAAATGAGAGGAATGTAAAGAGCATGGAGGGCCAAGGCTCAATCTGGCTCGAGGAGAAAAGCTTAAGAGATTAAGGGGTTAAGATGTTAAGTTAAGATGCCCTTGCAGGTAGCCAACCTTAGTACAGTCCCCAGCACCGAAAAACACCAGGAGTGATCCCTGAGCACAGAGTCAGGAGTAAGCCCTGAGTACTTCCAGGTCTTCCCTTGTCTCCACCACCCAAAATCATTTCTTCTGAATTTAGGTCTTTATCTGATGAACTCTTGAGTCATGTAGAATGTGAAGTATGCTCACTTCAGTTCATTTCAACATAGTGAACCCTATGTGTCAAGTCAGACTTGAAATGGGCATGGTCATGATGAGTTGGGAAAACATACATATACAGAGATCACTTTCATGTCCTACTTGTTCACGTGAAACTCTCAAGAAATCCAGGCAGTGGGACAATGGACTGTGCTAGGGTTGGGGGATGGGAAATGGGATGGCAGATTGAGCCAAACTAGGCCAAATGGCATTGAGAAGGTGACTGATAGGCCCTATCAGAATGATTCCCAGCTCAGTGATAGGATGGAGAAAGGAGTTAGAGAGAGAGGAGGGACAATGGAAAATTTTGTGGCCTGAAAATAGAGTCATTGTGGAAAGTGAACCATCCTCTATAAGTGAGCGAAGTACCTTGCATGCTGTATTCAGAAACTTTGATATGATTAGATGGTGGATCCATTGAGACTTTTAAGATAGATGACATTTATTCAGTTTACTCAACATAGCTACTTATGGTGAATGAAACACACATAGCTATCTTGCCTTCTTGGAGCAAGAGAGACAGTAGTTACTTGGAATCAAGTTCTTTATATTACAAATTGATGTATGTTCTCGATGCAAGGTCTGTGTGTGTGTGTGTGTGTGTGTGTGTGTGTGTGTGTGTGTGTGTGTGTGTTGATGGTTTAACACATTGACGCCAAAACAAGAACGGAAGCCAAGGGAACACAGTGTTTCAGGAAGGGAGTGGTGGGTGGTGTGGCGATGATTTGTGTTTTCAGAGACCTTGTGTAAAAGTAATGGAATGTGAAGAGGAGAAACTAAATGTGAGACTAACAGGTCAGTGGTTCACAGCTCTGGTGGCACATTGGAAGTACAGCTGCCAGGTGCACCCTGTACCAGCTAACCCGGCAGTTCTCCAGGTGGGGTCTGGTGTTCATAGTGTTCAAAGTTCCCAGATGATTCTTTATGCTGCCAAGGTTGAGTGCCCCTGTAGGGAAGAGCTTGGTACAGTGGGTGTGACGGCAAGGCAGGAGTGTGAGCCTGAGTGTGGACTGACCCCATAAGACTTGCAATAAGTGATCAGTTACATGTGAGGATGAGAAAGGAAAGAAGAGGAAACTGACTGCCCGTCATCACCATGTGTAATAATCGGACTCTGCATTTGTGGTTTCAGATACTCCTTTTTCGTAGCAATGGGATACCTGACCTTATGCCACATCAGCCGCATATACATTTTCCACTATGGAATTCTCACTACGGATTTTTCGGGGTGAGTATCTTTGTGGTGAGGAGTTGGCTGCTAACTTGGACTCAGGTGGGTGAATTTCATATGTGCAGGTCAGAGTCACCAGTGACTGATTAAATCAGGATGAGAGCATGAAGGTGAGTCAGAGGTTTGAGAGCTCAGTTTGCTGAGTTACGGAAGTACCTTCTGTCCCGCCATCTGCCTTTCTTGATTTATTTATGTTGGAGATGCAGCCAGGCACCTTTTGACATGTGTGTTACCTCTGGTGGATTTTTATTTATTTATTTATTTATTTATTTATTTATTTATTTAGCACCATAATGGTTTTGAGGTGAGTGGTTCCCAGAGAAAATGTATACATTAGACCATCTTGTTCTTTATAGGGAAAGTAGCCCATCTTGAGTGTCAGGTCATCCACATGGTGTCTTGCTTATCTCTGAGTAGTTCATGATAGACACATTCTTCCATCCTACTTGATAACCAGCTGCTGCCCCATTCCCACCTTCCAGTAAGGAGAAGACTGATGCCCAGCACAGCAGGTGTCCACAGTTCTTGTAAATTTCTTATCTGACACCGTGGTCCTTTGCTGGAAGGCTGTTCACAACATTGATTCAGTCACTCTTCTTCTGCCTTCTCTTTTGGTGACCCTAATTTAGTCTTAGTTTAAATGTTGAGTTTTGTTTGTTTTGCTTGTTTTGTATCTTTGTACACAACATACGAGTGACATCATGGCTGTGTTTCTTTCTCCATCTGACTTATTTCAAGAAGCATGAAACCTCCTATGTCCTTTGTTGTAACTGAACAGCAGGATTTCATCTTTTTAAAGTTGATGAAGTGTTCATATATTCTGGTGTGTTTTTATACCACCTAATCATATCTCTTGGTGAAGATTTAGATCATTGACAGATTTTGACTGTGGGAAATAATGATGAAATGAATGTTGCCTATATCTCTTTCAGTGTGATAAAAAGATTTTGGGGGAGGGGCTGGAGCAACAGCACAGTGGATAGGGCATTTGCCTTGCATGCGGCCGAACAGGATTTGGTTCCCAGCATCCCATATTGTCCCCCGAGCACTACCATGAGTAATTTCTGAGTGCATGAACCAGGAGTAACCCTGTGTATCGTCGGGTGTGACCCAAAAAGCAAAAAAAGAGGGCCATATTCAGTGGTGGTTATGGGCTATTTCAGGCTCTGTGCTCAGCAGTGACCCCTGGAAATGCTCTGGGGACCATATGTGGTGTCTTTGATTAAATGAGGTTGGCCACATGGCCTGTGTGTAAGGCAAGTTCCTTATCCCCTGTGCTATATCTCTCCAGCCCTGAGTTGGAATTTTTGCATTCTTTAGGTAGGTTTGCAAAGTAGGATAATAGGATCACCGGGAAGTTCTCTTTTTAACTCTGAGGAATCTCTTATATTACTTTCATAATGACTGTGCCAATTTACATGCCCACCAACAATGTTTAAGTGTCCCCTTCTCTCCGCATCCTTATTAATAGCTGTCTTTTTTTATTTACTTACTTGTGGTGCCAGGGATGGAACACTTATCTTTGGGGGAATTAGCCATTCTCATAGGTGTGAGATGATACCCATTGCTGTTTTGATTTGAATTTCCTAAGAACAAACTTCCTTTTACTTAGTTATCATTGTTATTGTGGTGCTGGGGATGTAGCCCAGGGCATCATGCATACAAGTATGAAATCTTGCAAGGCAAGTGCCTCTACGACTGAGTCATTTCCATGGCTCCATTTTAAGGATGTCTGTTGCAAATGATTGGGTAAGGTATGGCATAGCTACATAATGGAATACTACTCAGCTATGAAAAAAGATGAAATCATGCAGTTTGCTGCTCTGTGGATGGAAATGGAGAGTATCATGGTGGGTGATGTCAGTCAGAAGAACAGACACAGAATGATCTATTTCATATGTGGAATATAAAGCAGCATAGTAAGGAAATAACAAAAAGCCCAAAGCAATAGAATCTAGGGACTGGTCCACAGACTGAGTTTACCATGGCAGTGAGACAGATATTGGGTGGGGGGAGAGGGGAGGTGGTAGTATAAAGGGAGAGGGACGTATTGAGTTGGGGAAAAGGAGTGGGAAGGAGAGAGACAGAACCCAGAGTCAGTAATTGAGGGAAATGGTCACTCTAATGAGGACGAATGTGGTGTTAAAATGTTGCATTCATGAAACCCTATCATGGACAATATTGTAAAAGTATAAATCATGGTGACTAAAATAAAAATTTTAAAAATAGATTCCTTGCTACTAACATTTTTTTAAAGGAATAATCCACATTTATTTCTCTCTCCTTTATTTATCCTTTTCCTGTCTACCTCCGATTTTTCTTCCTTGATTGGAGAACAGGCTAGTCAGGCCTTATGCCCTGAAGAAGGGAATTCCCACTGGTCTTGTGGGTCTCAACTGGGTCAGTGAAAAGAGTATAAATTTCAGCAAAAAGCTATTGTGAATTATTGGTGCAAAACTTTCCTGGAAAGTTTGTTGGAATTAATTTTCTTAAAGGATGGGCATTGGTAGCAGAATATAGAAACATTGACAGCAAGGAAAAAAACCACTTAACTGGAAATGATACCATTAAAATTATTTTTCAAATGCAGCTAATGCTCCTTAGTCTGTAAACAACAGACTGCATTACGTACGTATAATGTACACTCCTCTCAGACTTTCAAGAGTTTCTGGCTCCTAATAGATGATCATTAATGACCAAGTAAAACATTCATGTCTCTGACAGTCCTTTTTTGGGTGTTTTCCAGCAGCTTCAATCAAATAGCCCCTACCATCAAATTTCATTGAAATACTGAACACAAGTGTAGACTTTAGCTCAAAGTCAAAGACTTACATCTCATCTGTATCAGCATTTCAGGACATAGAGTGTGTAATCATTAATTCATTTCCTCTGTTGAGTCCCCACTATGCTAGACAAAGTGCCATGTATCACTTACGCATGTGGACAGGAGAAAGTATTTGCCATCAGGGGAGATGTCTCTGGTGACAATTGCTATCAGGTCTGTGGGGTGACTGTCACTGTGTTCTGTGATCTGTTCTACATGCCTACCCCTGGCACCACTGCATCTCTGATGCTTTCCTGGCCACCACATAGCCCCTTGACCAGAATTCATCCCTACCAACCAGAACCAGGGCCCCCAGTGGTGAGAGGGAGTGGGTGGGCAGTCAGCTATGCCCGTCCCGTTCCTGACCCCACTTTGCACAATTTGGGGTTGCACTGCAGACTCCCTGTCTTTTGCTGGGGTTAGTTCCTACTATAATCCAGTGGGTTAGTTCCCTGGGCTGGTTCCTTTCATGTGCTCATGGTTAGGAGACATACAAGGTTCAATTATTATTTTTTACAGGTGCCAGCATCTGTAAAAAAATAATAATTAAAAAAAAGCTGCAGTTTACAAATACATCTCTTTTTTCCCCCCCTACCACCATGACTGCACAATATCTTGGTTACATAAATCTATCTGCTTGGATAATTTTAGTGAAAAATAAATTAAGAGGCTAGAACCTACCAACCTGATCAACAAGATATAGAAATCATAAATTCATTCATTACCGGTGTCTCTTATATTATGAGCAAGCAAGCAGATACAAGTTCTCTCCCAGAGGAAAGTCTGCTTGCCACTAAAATTGTGGTTTAAAAATCTTATGTAGGATGTTGCTGAGGAAAAAAATAGTATTTTGAAGTTGACCCTCTAAGGTAGCCGAATGTGAAAGCTAGTTGCTTTGGAACTAAGTGCTTAGCATATTTTATTATACCTTTAGAGTAGAAGCACGGACAGGAATTGAATGTGGTTACATTCGACGAATGTGTCCAAGAACCCTGAGGAAGGAACCAAGATGGAGCCAAGTGCTAGGCAAGAGCCTTATCTCCTGCACTATCTCTCTAGTCCTGGAAGCCTATTTTACATACTTCAATACCCAGGGTCATAGAAAAGAACAATTCTTGCTCTATAACCTGGATGCATGTAAGTGTCATATTATGGGGGAGCTCTTGATACTTTTTTCAAATTAAGATTGGTGGGCCCTCCCGTTGATCATCGATTTACTCGAGCGGGCCCAGTAACGTCTCCATTGGAGACTTTGTTGTTACTGTGTCTGGATGTGTGTGTGTGTGTGTGTGTGTGTGTGTGCGTGTGTGAGAGAGAGAGAGAGAGAGAGAGAGAAGAGAGAGAGACTCTTGTTTACTTAAAGAAAGCTGCAGTTTACAAATAAATCTCTCACTGTTTGTTCATGGAAGAGTCATATTTAATAAAATATAGCATAGAAGAACATAATTAGAATGAAGAAGTGAAGAAAAGCTCTCTCCACATAGAAGCAGAGTTCTGGATTTGGTCTCGGTGCTGTTTCACTTTAACATGAGTTAGATTTCCTGGAGATCTCATTAAAATGCAAGTTCTCATTTTCTAGATCTGGGGCAGAATCTGAAGTTCCACATTCCCCAAAGCCCAAGTGGTGTCCACTGTGCTGGTGCATGCCCTTGCACTTGGAGTATCAGCATGAGAGGGACTGTCCAGTGCCATCTTGCTTCACAAATCTCAATCACAACCATCCTGTTATTCGTCAATTGCCTCGAGCAGGCCCCAGTAACGTCTTCTTTGTCCTAGCCCTGAGATTTTTTTAAAAAGTGCCATATTTAAGGCTCTTTCAGAGTTAGGAGAATGAGACCCTTCATTGTTACTGGTATTTGGCATATTGGGTATGCCATGGGGAGTTTGCCAGACTCTGCCATCTTGCTTAATGTTGACTTAAGTGATTGGAAGAGAAATAAAAAGTGCTTGTTTGGAAGTCAGTGTTTTGTAAATTTCCCTGTACTGACAGCCCAGTGGGAGCACAGCATGTTTGATGGAAAAATTGCATAGAAGCCCATAAACTCATTGAGTGAAAACCATAACACAGAAGACTCAACCAGCACCAACCAGCTTAGTAAATACTCAGACAATAACTTTGGTAACACCATTGAGAGATATGACAGTGATCACAAATTGACTTTTATCAGTCTATTTTTTGATACTTCTATTCGCCATTTTGTTACAACATGCAATGTGAAGTAAATTTGTTTGTGCCTACTATAGGGGTAGGCTTGGGAAGGTGGCTGGCCAACTGGGGACATTAGTGGAGGGAAGTTCACACTGGTAGTGGGATTGGTGTTGGAACATTGAATACCCAAAATGCCTGTTATGAAAAACTTGTAAATCATGGTGTTTAAAATTTAAAAAACATGTATCTCTTTAATTATAAGTTAGGTCACATGGTCACAGTAGTGTTAATATTTTTTTTTCTTTTTGGGTCATATCCAGCAATGCACAGGGGTTACTCCTGGCTCTGCACTCAGGAATTATCCCTGGCGGTGCTTGGGGGACCATATGGGATGCTGGGAATCGAACCTGGGTTGGCGCGTGCAAGGCAAATGCCCCACCCCCTGTGCTATTGCCTCAGCCCCTATTGTTAACGTTTATAGTTGTGATGTGCAGAGTTATTTCACCAACATTAAAAGTTCCCACAACCCTCCACAACTTTATTTTACATTTAATTATTATACTTTAGGTCACATGCTTACAAGTCTTAAAATTTTTGGTTTTGATGCATGTAAATTGCCTCTCAACACCATCTCAGTTCCCAACTTCCACCATAAATGCCCTCATTTTTTTTAGTACCACATCTGGCGGTGTTCAGGGCTTACTCTGGCTCTGTGCTCAGAGATCACTCTTGCAGTGCTCTGGGAACCACATGGCTAGATCAAACCCTGGTTGACCGCATGCAAGGCAAGTGGCTTATCCCTATACCATCTTTTCAGTCACCTTACGTTACTTCTGACTGCCCTCATCACCTCCCCATCCCCGTCAGAGACTACCCGTTTACAAGTACACTTGCATTTTCTGCAATCTTCTTCAAGAGGAACAACCTACCCTGCAGAAGAATAGAGCCTTATTTCCCTTGTGGGTACTTTGTCCACACTGAGGTCTTCTCTTTCTTTCAGACCCCTGATGATCGTCACCCAGAAGATCACGACCTTGGCATTTCAAGTTCACGATGGTAAGAAAAACAACCTTCCTTTGAGATCTGAGATATTTTCAAAGGGTTGCTCCTACTCGAACTCCTTGGTCCAAATTTCACAAAAGTGCTGGCAGTTCTTGCTGGGTCAAAATTTTCCAAACTTTTTTTACTTATAACCTTGTTCCTTTCCCCACTCCTATTTGCCATTTCCCTTTGGAATCTGTAATCTAAATTAGCTGGAATCTGTTTGGAGAACAGTGGGTTTCCTGTTACCTTGACAGTTTGAAATTTCAGTGAGTCGATGATGTTCCGGCCTTTATTTCTAAACATGTTAAGAAGAGATGGCTTTCCCCTTTGGCCTAAAGACTAAAGAGTCTGAGAGGCTATTGTTTTCAGGAGAGCTTTTTGGTTTGGGTTTGGGAAATATTTAGTGACATTAAACTGACCCTATAAAAATCTCAGAGAGAAAGAATCCTTTGTTGGTATAAAATGGAAAAAAAATATTTTGTTCAGGGCCCTGACCCCAAAGTGTGATATCCACTTCTAGAACTGGATTCTGTTAGCCAGCCGGAAGATTTCAATATGTGCTTAGGAGATGCCAGGTACAATTAGTAAAAGTATATTCTGCACATTTGTACTGCTCTGGTGAGCGCCCTTTGATGGCTGAAGTTTCTTTCAAAGTTGACAAGTTGAGAGGATTTGTGGACTCCTAGCTTATTTTTCCCTAAAGCTTGGGAGCTTATTTAATTCCCATGTTGACCCTGTGTGAATTCCTAGTTCATTCCTGATGACTTAGTCATTCTGTAGAGAGCTGGGTCATGTCTTACCGAGGGGGAAATCTTCAAAGTATCTGAGTTTGCCAGCACCAAACCAGTATCACAAGATACAAGGTTGCCAGTGTCAAATCAGGAGTGTCCTAGGCAAACCCAGACGAGCCTGGCATCTTACTAATCCCTGGAAGCCCACTTGAGAGTGGTTAGAACACAGTTGCCAGAATCAATCTTTTTGAGGAGATCTTAAAAAAAAAGTGGATTTTTTTTATTAGTTTTGCTTCTTGTTTTCTCTTTAAAAATTGACTTAGCCTTCTTTGCCTATCTTTTCTTTCTAAAGAAGTCCCAATTTATCCTGTGTTTTCCAAGTTTCTAGAAAATTCCTTATGCAGCAAAGTGTCTATTTTTCCTTCTTTCTTTTTTTTTTGTCTTGTGTATGGGGGGCAATTCCAGAACATTCCAGAACATTCTATTCTGTCTGAGAAGGTTTTGAATTTCCATAATCAATCTTAGCTGAATGTGCAGTTCTATTTTATGCTTCTATTTGTTTAATTTTGGAGGGTAACACCTGGTGGTACTCAGGGGTTATTCCTGGCACTTAATTCAGTAATCACTCCTGGCAGTGTTTTGGGAGCCAGATGGGATGCCAGGGATTGGATCTGGGTTGGCCTCATGCAAAGCTTGTATTCTACCCACTGTACTATAAGTCCAGCCACCTGAATGTGCAGGTTTTTTTTAATTGAATCAATGTGAGATACAGTTATTCAGTTTTTAGTCATGTAATGTTCCATCACCTGTCCCTTCACCAGTGTACACTTTCTACCACCAATGTCCCCAGGTTCCCTCCTGTCACTCCCCCTTCACCTGCCTTTGTGGCAGGCCTCCTCCTCCTCCTTCTTCTTCTTTCTCTCCCTCTTCCTCTTCCTTTTCTTCCTCCTCCTCCTCCTCCTCCTCCTCCTCCTCCTCCTCCTCCTCCTCCTCCTCCTCTTCGTCTCCTCCTCCTCCTCGTCTCCTCCTCCTCCTCCTCCTCCCTCCTCCTCCTTCCTCCTCCTCCTTCCTCCTCCTCCTCCTATCATGTTTGGTTCTTCACCCACACTTTCAGCACGCATCTCCCATCCAGAGCAATCCCTTCCAACCATCATTATCATAATGGTTCCTTCTCTATCCCAACTGCCCTGTCCCCAAGCCCTTCAGGCAGGCTTCCAACTGTGGACAATTCTGACCCTTGTTTCTACTGTTCTTGGGTATTAGTCTCATACTATGTATTTTTTATATTCCACAAATGAGCCACAAATGAGTACATAACTCTCTCTCTCCTACTGACTTATTCACTTAGCATGATACTCTTCATGTCCATCCATTTATAAGCAAATTTCATGACTTTTTTTCCCTAACAGCTATATAGTATTCCATTGTGTAGATGTACCAGAGTGTGTTTAACCTGTCATCTGTTCTTTTTTTAATTTAATTTTATTTTTATAAAGTTGTCCACCATAATTCATTACATTTAATATTCAAACACCAATCCCACCACCATTGCACCTTCCCACCATTGCATTTAGAATATTTCCACCCCAAATCCCAAACCATGCCCCCCAAAGCAGAACTGAAACAATTCATTTTGTATTGCTTATTTTAAATAATCCACTAAAAATGATCCAATAATGTTTCCTTAGAGAAAGGTGTGTGAAGATTGTTGTGTTTTATCCTGGAGCCATTAAGCTCTTGTATAAGAGTTTACTAACATGTTTTGTTAAACTCCATCAAATGTTGTGTGCTACTTTTTTTTTCTATCTTTAGTTGCCTTTTTCCCCCTTTTGTCAGCTTTATTTATTTATTTTTTTAATTTATTTATTTATTGAATCACTGTGGGAAAGGTTACAAAGCTTTCAGGTTTAGGTCTCAGTCATGCAAATATCAAACACATTTCCCTTTACCAATACTTATTTTTTACCATGAAGAACCCCAATAAGACCCCACCCCCACCCCTCCCAGTCCCTGTGAGGCAGATGAATTCTAGTTAACACTCTATCTGCTTTGATTAGATTCATTGTTTCATTAAAAGATTCACCACTATTATTTAGAGTTTACCCCCCCCCCCCCGCCCCAAATCAGACATGCTGAAAAAGCATTGTGAAGTGATTTGCTTTCTACAGCTGGGTTCAAGAATTAAATGTTGGTTTTGGATTTCTGCTATTTTACTTATTGACCCTGGAAGTATTTCTACTGAAAGTCAGATAGTTAAGAAATTGGTTTCTGTGCTCTGGAGTCGTGGCCGTGCTGGAGAGCCGCTCGTGGGGGGCAACTGGTTACCTCGGTAGGGCGTGAAGGACGGACCGGAACGCCCCCCTTCCCATGAGGTTTTAGTCGCCCCCACACCCCCTGCTCATACCTGCTGTCCACAAGGCTCCCATGCGGCCGCCATCCTTCTTTCTAGAGAAGAGAGAGCAAATGGGGCAAAACCCTTTCCCCTCCGGGCAGACATGATGGCCCAGATTAACGCATAGTCCGTTCACTTTTCTGCTCCAAGCTGCTGGGTTCTGCATTAAGTCCTTGTGCTTCTGGGACTGAGGCCGTGCTGGAGAGCCCCTCGTGGGGGGCAACTGGTGACCTCGGTAGGGCGTGAAGGACGGACCGGAACGCCCCCCTTCCCATGAGGTTTTAGTCACCCCCACACCCCCGGCTCATACTTGCTGTCCACAAGGCTCCCATGCGGCCGCCATCTTTCTTTCCAGAGGGGAGAGGGCGAATGGGGCAACACCCTTTCCCCTCCGGACAGACATGATGGCCTGGATTAACGCATAGTCCGTTCACTTTTCTGCTCCAAGCTGCCGGGTTCTGCATTAAGTCCTTGTGCTTCTGGGGCCGTGGCTGTGCTGGAGAGCTGCTCGCGGGGGGCAACTGGTGACCTCAGTAGGGCATGAAGGACGGACCGGAACGCCCCCCTTCCCATGAGGTTTTAGTCGCCCCCACACCCCCGGCTCATACCTGCTGTCCACAAGGCTCCCGTGTGGCCGCCATCTTTTTTTCCAGAGGGAGGAGGGCGGAAGGGACCAACACCCTTTCCCCTCCGGGCAGACATGATGGCCTGGATTAACGCATAGTCCGTTCACTTTTCTGCTCCAAGCTGCCGGGTTCTGCATTAAGTCCTTGTGCTTCTGGGGCTGTGGCCGTGCTGGAGAGCCGCTCATGGGGGGCAACTGGTGACCTCGGTAGGGCATGAAGGACGGACCGGAACACCCCCCTTCCCATGAGGTTTTAGTCGTCCCCACACCCCCGGCTCATACCTGCTGTCCACAAGGCTCCCATGCGGCCGCCATCCTTCTTTCCAGAGAAGAGAGGGCGAATGGGGCAACACCCTTTCCCCTCCGGGCAGACATGATGGCCCGGATTAACGCATAGTCCGTTCACTTTTCTGCTCCAAGCTGCTGGGTTCTGCATTAAGTCCTTGTGTTTCTGGGGCTGTGGCCATGCTCCAAACTTAACTCTGATTTTCAGGGAGAAACATTGGGTGGTTTACTTCCCATTAATCACTTTGTATATAGAGAGATGTTGCAAGGCCGCGCAAGCGGCCGCGCGGTTTTGAGGAAAAGTCCTAGTTCCCGCATACTCGAGCTGTGCTTGTAGAGGCTTCTGGTCACCGGGGTTCCATCTGGGGGAGGTGGGATGCGGTACCTACCCCATCTGGAACTTCCCGATGATCTTGGCTCTTTTTGGAACCTGTTTTTTTCTTTTTCTCTGGGAGGTGTGGGTCCCGCCCTCCATGTGGCCCTTCTCTTCCGGCTGTATGCTGTTGTCAGCTTTATTTTTAAAATTTTTAAAAAAATTTGTATTAGTGAAACACCATTAGTACAGTTGTAGACTTACAAATTTTTGTGCTTGAGTTCCAGTTATACAATGATTGAATACCCATCCCTCCACCAGTGCCCATTCTCCACTACCACTAATCCCAGTATCCTTCCCCCATCCCCCATCCCACCCTGCCTCTGTGGCAGGACATTCCCTTTTGTTCTCTCTCTCTTTTTGGGTGCTGTGTTTTGCAAAAGAGGAATTGAGTGGCAATCATGTTCGGTCTAGGTCTACTTTCATCATGCATTTCCCATCCTGGGCGGATCCTCCCAACACCCTTTATTTGGTGTTCCCTTCTCTATCTGAGCTGCCTTTCCCCCTAGTGTGTGTGGCTGTCCTCCAAGCCGTGTTGGCACGGATGTGGTGAGAAAGGGACCCTGTTTCATTGCTGGTGAGAATGCCGAATGGTTCAGCCCTTTTGGAAAACAGTATGGATGATTCTCCAAAAATTAGAAATTGAGCTCCCATTTGACCCAGCAATACCACTCCTGGGAATATATCCCAGAGAGGCAAAAAAGTACAGTAGAAGTGACATCTGCACTTGTTTGTTCATTGCAGCACTGTTTACAATAGCTAGAATCTGGAAAAAACCTGAGTGCTTGAGAACAGACAACTGGTTAAAGAAACTTTGGTACATCTATACAATAGAGTACTACATAAACTGTTAGAAAGGTTGAAGTCATGACATTTACATACAAGTGGTACTCCATGGAAAGTATCATGCTAAGTGAAATGAGTCAGAAAGAGAGGGACAGACATAGAAAGATTGCATTCATCTGGGGAACATAAAGTAACAAAATAGGAGACTAACACCCAAGAATAGCCGAGATATGTATGCTACTCTTGGTATATCAGTGGTGTAGAGTATGAGAAGTCTTGTGACCACAAGCTCTAGGAATTCTAAAATTTAGAATACAGCAGATTCATTGATGGGTGAGGCTGCTGATGAGATTATATGGCATCAGGGGCAGTTTGTGAGTGTGACCCAGGAAAGGAGGAGGCCCTTTCCTGATCCTAGCAATCTTAGAGATTTCAGTCACGGGTCCTGTGTACCTGGGTTTTTCTGCAGGTTTTCTCATGGGTGAGGCTCGTCCAAGCCTGTGGAGAGCAGCTGTGAGCATGACAGTGATTGAATTCTGGAGGCTTTTAGTGGCCCATGGTCTGTTGGGACAGGGAGGGACACTCACCCACCTTCCCTCGAGTTTCCCCAGTTAGAACAGTCTGGCATGGAGCCCGGAGGCACCTCAACAGTGTGACACTCTATATTTCTCTCTTCTAGGAACTTTATTTCTTGATGGAGATGTTTTTATTTATTTATTTATTTATTAAACATTTTATTGAATCACCGTGAGAAAGTTACAGGCTTTCATGTTTTGGTTACAGTCACACAACGATCAAACACCCATCCCTCCACCAGTGCACATTTCCCATCACCAATCTCCTCAGTATACCTTCCCCTTCCCCACCCTCCCCCTGCCTCCATGGCAGACAATATTCCCTATACTCTCTCTCTACATTTGGGCATATGGTTTGCAATACAGACACTAAAAGGTGATCATGTTTGGTCTGTTATCTACTTTTGGCACACATCTCCCAACCCAACTGATTCCGATGGAGATATTTTTAAAGAAGAAAAATCTTCAGATAATTCCTTTCCACATGCTCTGTACATGGGATTGAACTTCTTGCTTTGTTTGTTTATTTGGAAAGAGAACTGTCCTATTCCTTTCCTCATTGCACATGTGTGCTCTTCACTTATAATAATAAGTATCTGTTTTGGCTTAATCATATTGGTGTTTAAGCTGGCACAGGCAGCAAAGGTTTAATTATGTAGTGACAAAATAGACCATGTTCCAAGGTGGATTTGAGGAGTGTGGAAGATTCTCTGGATTTCATGTCCTACAGTATCACTGTATCACTGTATCACTGTCATCCTGTTGATCATCGATTGCCTCAAGCAGGGCCCAGTAACGTCACCTTTGTCCTAGCCCTGAGATTTTAAAAAGTGCCACATTCGAGGCTCTTTCAGGGTCAGGAGAATAAGACCCATCATTGTTACTGGTTTTTGGCATATTGAATACGCCACGGGGAGTTTGCCAGACTCTGCCGTGTGGGCAGGATACTTTTGGTATGTCATGCTATAAAAAAAATACATACATATATATATATATATATATATATAGTTTTTGTGCCTCACCTAGCAGGGCTCAGGGCTCACTTCTGGTATCCTCAGAGGACCATATGTATTATATATATTATTATGTATTATATATATTATTATACATATTATATACACATATATATCTCGCCCTCATGGCAAAGCCTGGCAAGCTACCCATGATGTATTCGATATACCAAACACAGTAACAACAAAGTCTCACAATGGAGACGTTACTGGGCCCGCTCGAGCAAAATTGATGAACAACAGGAGGACAGTGATAATATATATATTATTTTTGTGCCTCACCTAGCAGGGCTCAGGGCTCACTTCTGGTATCTTCAGAGGACCATACGCAGTGCCAGGGTCTGCTGTGTGCTGAGGAAGTGCCTTAATCCCTGTATTATCATCTCAGGCTCTCATACTCCAAGAATTCAAGAGGATTCATGTTTCAATTCTCCCCACTTCTTAGGAACCTGTAGAGACTCGTCCCACATAAATTCACCGGGCCGGCCCTTGGGTCCAGTGCATTTATTTGGGAGAGTGAAAAACAGGGGACTTGGGTGACATTGGAAGGGGAAGCAATTGCTTTTTCATGCTCAGCGTCAGTTCAAGTGTCTCATTTCTAATTGTTTTCCTTTGTGTAGGTTTAGGTCGAAGAGCTGAAGAGCTCTCTGCCGAGCAGCAGCGCCTGGCCATAACGTGAGTTCAGACCAAACTCTCCTTTTCGCCCTTCGTGTCTCAGTGCCAGAAAGCGTCCTTATTGTTCCTATCTGTACATTAACTCCCCTGAGTGGATGCTGAGTTAACAAATCTGCTCTGGATAGACACTTGGCTGGTCTTACCCCTCTTGGGCTTTTCCTCGTGGTAAGCGATGAATAATCCTGTCCTTAAATGGGTTTGGATAAGGCTGGAGCACAGATTCCCAGAAGTGGGACTGCTGGGCCAAAAAAGCAAATGACTCTGTAATTTTATTAGCTTTGCAATTGCCTTGACTGGAGCTGTGTACTTCAAGAATCGTTTTTTTATTGGACGCGTGTCTGGGGTCCTCCAGAAACAAGTGCCAGTGACTGTTGGGAGGATTAAATGCTGGCAGGAGGAGGAATCGGAAGTCGGCTGGAGAAATGGGTCTGGGCTGGGGCCTGAGAGGACAGGGAAGGGCTGAAGGTGCAGAAGGAAGAGGTGATGGGTGTTAGGGAGAAAGGGAGGCTCTGTCAAGTAGAACAACAGCATTGAGGCGGGAGTGAAAATACCACGGGGCAACACATTGGGGAGAGAGCTGGAACTGTGACAGAAAAGCTCCCCTGGACAGTACTGAGAGGAAACTGGGACAAGAGGGGGGGGTGGCAGTTGATAAAGAAGCCTTCATTCTTTCACTAAGGAATTGGGACTTGGCAGCAGTAGAGGACCAACGGGGAAGCTCCTGAATCCAGCGCTTGGTGCAGAATTTGGGGGGTGTATGTGTGTGAGGCCTCAGCCAGGCACTGGGGAGCAATGGCATTTTAGGAAGCTGACCCCACAATTCTACCATGTTGGAAGAGCATGCATTCTAAAATGCTATGAAACATCTCCCCCCGAGGGCTGATGGGTAGTGATAACACAGCGATAGCTCAGCGGGTAGGGCATTTGCCTTGCATGTGGCTGACCCGGGTTCGATTCCCACCATCCCATATGGTCCCTTCAGCACCGCCAGGGCTAATTCCTGAGTGCAAAGTCAGGAGTAACCCCTGAGCATCGCAGGGTGTGACTCAAAAAGCAGAAAAAAAAAATAAGAAACACCTCCCCCCCACAACCTGATTTCTGCAGAACCATTTCCTCTGCCACCAACCGCCACTGCTGTACCGGACCTGGTGCCAGATGCCCAGGCAGACAAGAGATCTATTGTGGGTGGTGTGGAAACCGGCCCCACCCATCATTTGGTTTGTGTTTATTTTGGCATGTTGGAGTTTTCTTCTTTCAGAGCATCGCTGTTAACTCACGTTAGGCTAGGATTCCAGCCCTTCTGTTTTTTCATTCTTTTGTTGTTGTTGTGGTTGTTGTTTGTGCTGCTGTTCATTTTCGTTTGTAGATGAAAAGGCTGAGGAGGGGGGTGGGGGAAAAAAGCGTGTCCAGGTCTCAGAGTTGCCTTGGGGTCCCCTGTATATAGCAGGGCCCACCAGCAGAGGGCTCCTGGGAGCACCACTCACCCGCATCTCTGAGCCAAATCCTTTGCCTTCTCTCTTAGGTGAACTTCCCTAGAAGCAGACAAAGGAAAGAGTACGTCACGTTTAATCATCTACAGAGACAGCTCCCCCGCTGTTGACACTGTGCTTAATTTGCCAACCGGAACCGGAAGTCAAAGGCTTTTCAACGTGTTGCTTTGTTTCCACAGAGTCAAACCATCTTTTTTGGAATACTTGAGCTATCTTCTCAACTTTATGAGTGTCATTGCTGGCCCTTGCAACAATTTCAAGGACTATGTCGCCTTCATTGAGGGGAGGCACACACACATGAAGTTGCTGGAGGTGAACTGGAAGCAGAAGGGTTTCCACAACCTACCAGAACCTTCTCCCACTGTAAGTGTTACGGTGCAAGAATTACAAGAATTACCCAGAGTTCCAGAAAACTGGGCTTGGCTGCTACAGCACATTCTCACCAATGTCATTCTAGTAAAAAAAAAAAAAGTCAATTTTCAGTTTACCTGAAAAAAAATTGGCTAATAAATCCCCACCCCACCCCAATTTGTTTAACATGCCAGCCTGGCTGTTGAGTTTGTGTTTGTGTGAGTGCTGTTCATTTGAGTTGTTTGTGTGAGTGCTGTTCATTTAAGTTGCTTGTTGAGAGATGAAAGTGATTGATTTGTGGAGTCAATCAAGGTGAATCAAGGGCTGGAGTGATAGCCCAGTGGATAGGGCGTTTGCCTTGCATGCAGCTGACATGGCCGACCCAAGTTCGATTCCTCTGCCTCTCTCGGAGAGCCCGGCAAGTTACCGAGAGTATCTTGCCCACACAGCAAAGCCTGGCAAGCTGCCCATGACGTATTCGATATGCCAAACACAGTAACAACAAGTCTCACAATGGAATCGTTACTGGGCCCGCTCGAGGAAATCGACGAACAACGGGAGGACAGTGACAGTTGAGTGATGAAAGTGATTGATTCCTGGAGTCAGCCAGCCAATATGTCTATACTGTACTAATTTGAATTTAATACATGAATACATTTGAATTTGGGTGTTCTGCTTACAAGAAGAAGAATTCATCTACAGGGAACCACATGCCATAAGTGAAGGAGGGTGAGGGAGCGGAGACTAGGATACATGGGCTCTTAATGACAGAACTAATGTATTGCAAGGGAGCCAACTCCACCCAGCCTGCAGCAGCTGTGTTCTGTTGGCATTGCAGATGCTTCTTGAGATAATATTTTCAGCATGAATGTTATAGTCTCAAATCAGTCCACATAAGGGCGACAGGTTGAACTGCGCAGCTAGGTTGATTTTATTCAAGTCAAATAGCCCATGTTCAAGGGAAATTCATATAAACAGTGTGAGGAAATCTGGAAAAAGGTTGGGGGTGGGGTATGAAGAACATGGAAGTATTTCATAAGTGCCTGTTTTTCGCAAGTGTGCAAAAGTTAGCACCTGCACATGGGAATGATTTTTCCACTGAGGACACGTTTCCAGAGAGTTTTGAAGTAGCTGCCGCTGCTACTCTGTTGGCTGAGGGTCTCAGGTTCAGCTGGTCTCTTGGAGCAATCAAGGAGTGACGCTCCCCAGGGCCAAAGACACCAAAGCAAACCATCCTAGCGACTCTTGTTTGTGTTATGAGCTTTCAGTTGGAATATCATTGAGCCATCTGAGCATCACTCAAGGAAGCTCTGGTATTGTTTGTGCCCAGAAAGAGTGAAGAAGTGAGTCGAGCTGTTGGTACAGGCACACAGATGGGCGGGAGCTGGCACCACTCTGGGGTCCCATCAGTGATACCATAATCATGGTGGTTGAGGACGGTGGGTCCTCACCTGGATCCAGGCTCTGTGCTGGGCCCCTTGTAAATGTTGCTTTTTTTTTTTTTTACCCTGCCTCCCCCCCTCACATCACAAGTAAGATGAGTCCATTCTCTATAAAGTGGGGAGTTCTAATTCTGTGACCATGCCACGGCTATTCTGTAGTGTCAGAGATGCAAAGTGAAGCCACCAAGTCGCAGGGAGTTTCACTTCCAGGACAGAGGTTTCACTTCCGGGACACTTCTTTTCATCCCTGGCATTGCAGGATTTGAGCAGCTCCACCTCCTCAGACCCTTGCATGGAACCGCTGGGCAAGTTCGTGAATAGGAATGGCTTTCGGCAAGCTCCCCATCGTATATAAATACAGACCGAGGGGCTGGAGTGACAGTACCATATGTAGGGCTCTTTCCTTGCACGCAGCCAACCCAGGTTCGATCCCCAACTTCCCTTATGGTCCTCTGAGCAGTGTCAGAAATGATTCCTGAGTGCAGAGCCAGGAGTAACCCCTGAGTTTTGCTGGGTGTGGCCCCAAAACTGGAAAAGAATACACACTTAGATGACTTCATCCCAACTCTTACTGCCCTCTTTCCTTGAAAGCGACATTTTTAAGTTCAACTGTTGTCATTTGGGTTCCCTGCTTTGAGACTGTCTGATCCCAGGGTCCATACAGTCATATTACCTCTGTATGGTGGGAGCATCTAAGATTTCTGCTCTTGCCTCGGTGTTAGTTACTTCTGGCCCCTTTTTTTCTTCCTCCTCCTGTGGTTCAATCCATTGGCATTTTTATTTCTGTAGTCATGATCCGGGCTGGAGCGATAGTGCAGTGGGTAGGGCGTCTGCCTTGCATGCAGCCGACCTGGCCGGCCTGGGTTCGATTCCTCTGCCCCTCTCAGAGAGCCCTGCAAGCTACCGAGAGTTTCTTGCCTGTACGGCAAAGCCTGGCAAGCTACCTGTGACGTATTCGATATGCCAAACACAGTAACAAGTCTCACAATGGAGACGTTACTGGGCCCGCTGGAGCAAATCGATGAACAACGGGAGGACAGTGTAGTCCAGTGCAGTGCAGTCATGATCCAGTGTTTTTTCCACCTTTGCAACCAACCACTCATTAGCCTTGTTCTTATATAGTGCCACACATTAGTAAGAACATCAGCATCTTGTCCTTGTCCTTCTGACTTATTTCTCTCACCATAAGATCCTCCGGTTCCATCCACATTGCAGCAGATTGCATGAGCTCACCCTGCCTGGTGTCTGGGCGATATTCTGTTGCATCTTTTTGGCTGGCAAATCTAGCCTGTGTCCTGGTTTCTGCTAGTGCCAGATGCAGAAATTGTTCTCCCTTCTTAGTGGAAGTTTGCCCACACCAACTTTGTTCTGTCCTTCTTGTCCAGTTTATAGTCACACCTTCTCCCTGTTGCGGGCAGACTCTGCTGGTGAATGTTTACTTCCTCGCTTGAGACTCTCCAGCCCTACCTTTCAGGATGTTGCCCCTGCCCCTATTTCCATTCAGGTCCTGGGGAAGTGGCTAGCGCCTTCCCTTGAAGGCCATTTTGCCAAAGCAGCCGCTGGAGCACCGTGTCTTGAACTTTATCCAGATGGAACTCTGACCCTGCTGAGTGGGTGACTCTCTCTTTCCCCCGTTCCAGGGAGCCGTGCTGCAAAAACTCTGCCTGACACTGGTGTCTCTCGTCCTGTTCCTGACGCTCACCAAAACCTTTCCCGTCACCTGCCTGATTGACCTTCAGTTTTCCCAGAAAGCCAACTTTCTGACCCGACTCTGTTACTTATATGCCGTCATGCAAGCCTCAAAGCCCAAGTATTACTTTGCCTGGACGTTGGGTAAGTTTCCTGGAGCGTCTGAGACTGTGATGAGAAAGGGAAGAAAAACAAATAAAACAAAAAACAACCCAATACCCTGGTATAGATTAGCCCAAAGCATGTTGGATCAGTGAATCAAAATCTCCAGCACCATTGAACGGGGGCCATTTCTTTTGCAAAGGAGCACTCCCTTCTCTCCTGCCACTCCCCAAGTAGTATATCTGTGGTAAGAAGTGACACCGTCCTATCTGCCTGCTGCTCTAATGCAGGATCATGAACAGATGCCAAAACTCTGAAGCTGCCGCATCTACCAGTCAGAGTTGGCCCTCTAGTACATGGAAGTTAAGGGGCAGAGGACCAGAGTGATCTGCCTTTACTCCAGTTTTTTTGAGTTATCCCAAGTGAGAGCCATAGGCTGAATTAATTTTGCCAATGCCTGCACTAATTTTTGGTTCCACTTTTGCTTTGAGAAGCACGGATAAGTCTCAGTGGTAGAGGACAGGCCTTGCATGGGGAGGACTTGGAGTCGATTCCTGGCACCATGCACAAAAATACTAAGAGGATGGTTAAACTTGATGCCTGTGATTAATGCTGACTCCCAGTGTTCTTTCTTTAAGGAGAAATTTGGGCTTCATTTGGTTTTCTTATAGTTTTTCCCCCCACCCCCTCCTTAGGTATTTTGTTAGGATTAAACTTTCATCTTTCGTTTCAGACAGCTATAACGTAGGGAAGTTTGCAGCATTGCTCAAGTGAACAATAATCCCATGTATATCTTTCCCAATATCGGCCAAACTTTGTGTAGTTCTCATTTGAATCCCAGCTGGGAATGGAAGTTTGACTCCTTGACTGAAAGGGCCTTGGGTCCAATATCCAAGAGCGAGCAGTGACTCATTTTTAAAGCCCAATGTGTTGCTAAAGTCAGTGCCAGATGTTTGGCCCACATTTCTTTTTTTTTTATATTTAAAGTTTTTTTTTTTTAATCACCGTGGGATACAGTTACAAAGCTTTACTGTTTGAATTTTAGTATACAATGATCAATCACCCAACCCTCCACCAGTGCACATCTTGACCACCAATGTCCCCAGTATCCCCCCAACCCATATCACCCCTCGCCCTGCCTCTGTGGCAGACAATCTCCCCCATATTCTCTTTGGTATTGCTTGTTGTAAATAGCATAAGATGTTGCGTGGCTGCGAGAGCAGCCGTGTGCTCCCAGAATCCTAAAATTTTAGATAATTAGGATCTGGAGAAATCTCTGCAGTGAGCTGCTTGGTTCGAAGATTCTTTTGTGTGTCTCTAGGTCCTGGCGGTTAAGAGCTTAAGTAGCAGCCAGAGGCAGTTTGTGGGCGTGACCTCCAGGATGAGAAGGATCATTGGCTCACATTCATGACTGAGGGCCTAGTATTTCATGTGCTAAGTGTTTAGACTCAGACTTTCAGCTCCTAAGTTATTATGTTTTATAGAGGAGTAGAAAACACTTGACATAAAATTTGCCATTTTAGCCATCTCTAAGTGACATTAAGTTTATTTATAATATTGGTTCCCCATTTCCGTCATTATTTTTTACATAGGAGTAGAAAACACAAAACATAAAACTTAACCGTTTTAACCGTCTCTAAGTGGCATTAAGTTTATTTATAATATTGGTTCCCCATTTCTGTTACCCATCTCCATCCATCACCCCAAACATGAAACTCAGTAGTAACTCACATATTCTTCCCTCTCCTGAAAGCCTGGTCCTCATTTATTTATTTATTTATTTTTCCATGGAAAAATGCATTTTATTTACAAGAGATTATTATGTGTGCATAAGTTTTTTTCGTTAAATATAAAATAAAATGAGTCCAATCTTAATGTAACATTCACTAACTTTTGACAAATAGTTGCTTCTACGTAACTCAGAAAATTATCAAGGTAACAAACATCATAGTTATTCCAGAAATTCTGTTCCAGAAGTTCCCTCATGTTTTTTACTGGTCAGGCCTGACTCAACCTCCTGAGGTAATCGTTGTTCTCATTTTATTTATTTATTTATTTATTTATTATTTCGAATACCCATCCCTCCACCAGTGCCCATTTCCCACCACCACGGATCCCAGTATCCTTCCCTCCCCCCATACCCCCTATCCCACCCTGCCTCTGTGGCAGGGTATTCCCCTTTGTTCTCTCTCTCCTTTTGAGTGTTGTGGTTTGCAAAAGAGTTAATCCTGATTTTCAGGGAGAAACGTTAGATGATTTACTTTCCATTGATCATTTTGTAGATATAAGGAGATGTCGCGTGGCTGCATAAGTGGCCATGCGGTTTGGAAAAAATGTCCTGGTTCCTGCGTGCCCGAACTATGCTTGTAGAGGCTCATGGTCACCGGGGTTCCGTCTGGAGAAGGCAGGATGCAGCACCTACCCCATCTGGGACCTCCCGATGAGATCGGCTCTGTTTGGAACCTGGAGCATTCTCCGGGAGCTGTGGAGCCCTCCAGCCCCTCATTTATTTTTAAGGGTCAAAATGTTTAGGATAAGTCTGACTGCCTATAACACTTGGCCAGAGAGATCAGACCTGTCTGGAACTTTTCTCACATTTGCAATGTGGGAAATTTTGTCTTTGGTCACACTGGTTTCATTCAAGTAGGTTTTGTTGAGTGTCAGGTCTGTGCTGTGAAGAGTCTTCTTTGCCCTCAATATAGTTAGACTCTGAGGGAACACAGACATGCATCCCAGCCAGACAGTCACTGGCCTAAATTCCTCATTGATGTGGGAAGGGTGTGGGGATTATACACAGGGGCTAGTCACTAAGGAATCAGCCAGCAGACTCTCCTTTTCTCTTCTACCCCTTTCTCTGTTGCTCTGTCACTTAACAAAGATCATTTTCTTAGGCAAGGTAGATAGGCAGGATACCCTCCTTGCAACTCCAAGTGACTCTTATTGACACAGGGGTGGTGGGTCTCTGTTGGTTAATGATTCCCATCATTAATCCCAGGATTCCCAGGTTCTTTTATATTTTCAAGATTGAGGAAATAATCAGTCCAGGCTTAGAATTTGAAAGAGAATTTTTTTTTTGGTTTTGGGTCACACCCAGCGATGCACAGGGGTTACTCCTGTCTCATGCACTCAGGGATTACTTCTGGTTGTCCTTGGGGAACCATATGGGATGCTTGGAATTGAACCCAGGTCAGCAGCATGCAAGGCAAACGCCCTACCTGCTGTGCTATCACTCCAGCCCCCTGAAAGAGAAACATTTTGATGATGCTGTAAACTTCCCTGTGCTGTAGTTGTTTGAAAGGAAAGATGGAAGGTTAATCCTGACAAAATACCTTTATGGAGTGGGTGGCAGGCAGGGTGGGGGGATTTATGAGAAAACAAATGAATGAACAGAATATCTGTGGAGGACAAAGACAGTGGTTAGGGTGCTTGCCTTGCACATGACAGACCCAAGTTTGATCCCCAGCATCCCATATGGTCCCCTGATCACCACCAGGAGTGACTCCTGAGTGCAGAGCTAGGAGTAACCCCTGAGGACTGCCAAGTGTGGCCCCCAAACAAATCAAAACCAAAACTAAAAAGCAAAACAAAACAAAAGATTTATTAAGAACCAGAGGAGAAAGAAACTACCTTCTGTAAGAAACTTAGCAAAGGGCTCTAAGTTAAATAAAGTAAGGGTTTTAAAGGAAAATTGAATGTATGTGTGTGTGTGTGTGTATGTGTATGTGTGTGCTGGTAGGGTCCAGTGTCTGTAGACCACACAAAACAATGAGCTCTGCAGTATAAGATTTGATCTGGTACAAATCAAACAAGTATGGAGTTTTTTTTAAAATTTTTTAATTTTTTTTTGCTTTTTGGGTCACACCTGACTATGCACAGGGGTTTATTCCTGGCTCTGCACTCAGGAATTACTCCTGGCGGTTCTCAGGGGACCATATGGGATGCTGGGAATCGAACCTGGGTCAGCTATGTGCAAAGCAAATGCCTTACCTACTGTGCTATTGCTCCAGCCCCAAGTATGGAGTTTCGAAAGCTGACCGGTCAGGGCCATCCCCGGTAGTAGGAAAGTGACCCGTCTCCTTGTTTCCAGGGTCTTTTTTATACTCTAAAAATGCAAGAGGTTTCCCTGACCGTCTTGTGCCACTCCCTGGTGACCTTTTCCTGGATTGGTTCGGTGGTTATCTCCACTGACTTCATGCAGGGATAATTCTGCTTTTTCAACTGATCCTCATAAATGGGTGGGAGTAGTTCTGTCTTTTCGGCTGATTCCCATAAATGTGTGTTATCTGGTTCAACTGACTTATGCACTCAGAAATTACTCCTAGCGGTGCTTGGGGGACCATATGGGATGCTGGGAATCGAACTTGGGTCAGCCGCGTGCAAGACAAATGCCCTACCTGCTGTGCTGTTGCTCCAGCCCCTAGTCATCTATTCTTGGACATCGATTATTTCCAAATATTGGCTATCTTGAATAGTGTACAGTGAACCCAGGAGTGCAAATTTCTTTTCTGAAGAGCTTTTGAGCCCTTGGGGTAGATGTCCAGAAGTGGGATTACTGGATCATTTGGAAGTTCAATTCTTAATTTTTTGAGAAGTGAACATACTGTTTACCAAAATGGATGGACCTGCCAATGTTCTCATCAGCAGTGCATGAGGGGTTCCTTTTATCCAAATCCATGCCTACATGGGTTGTTTCTGTTCTCTACCATGTGTCTCCAATCGAGTGACAGGGTATCAGAGGGTTCCCATTTGTTACCCACAGATATTCTGTTCATTCAGGGCCACTTGATATTTCTGAGATAGAGCAAACAATCCATAATTAGAATCAGATTCATGGTGCTGTCCTCTTTCTTAGATATTTCTTCTTACTTAGGTCTTCATTTTAAGTATTTGACCATTTGCCTTGGTACGGCCTGTTTTTTAGCTTCCAGCCTCCTGTGAGCTGAACCAAGAGCTGGGGTATAATTTATCCATTCATTTTAGAGTCTAGCCTTGGGAAACTGTCTTACGGAGATCCAGGAAGTTCAGAATGTAGGATAGTTTTA